GATAACCCTCAGAGGCATCTGAAAAGAAGATGGCCTCGGAACCTTCTAATATAGAAATATAATTGGAGTGCTACCAATGGTTAGTTTCTCTTCATGTTGTACATGTCATGTTATTTATTTCATACTTACTTGTTGTATTTATCATTTAATACAGTTGTAAATTTCAATAAAAAAAGATTAATATGAGACTCCCACAATTTTTTTTTTCCAAATACAAAAAACGGTAAGGAGGTTTCTCCTTAACTGCAACTGCATTGAAAACAAACAAAAATAAATTGTTTCCAATTAAATACCTGTTTCACACATGATGAGTACATAACCAAGTGTGTTTGATTGACTGAATAACATCCAAAATTTATGAAGAAAAATGAAAGAAACAATCTTAAAAGTCTTCCACAACAAACAGATCTAAAATATAACACAAAAATGATTTTTTGAATTGGATAGTCAATTCCTGAACTTAGCACATCTAAACAAACAAATTTTTTAGCTTTATATTAAATTATTTATTTATATCAGTATAGATGATGTCTTTGACATCTATTTTGAAATAAAATTACTTACTTTCGAATCTGGAAACAGTAGAGAAATCTTCCTTGGTGTAAACTTTGGAATGAGCTTGTCGAGTTCTCTTTTCATCAGTAGTTGGAGATAAAACAGTTTCAATTGATGTTAAAGTGTCCAATGCTGCTAGAATATGAAGAGCCGCATGTGATCTGGTAACTGTATGGCCTTGTACTGTTGGCAAAGCAAGCTGTCCGGATAGAAGGGACCAAGACCCAAGTCCACCTTCAGAGCACACTTGATTATAAGTGAGAAGCTGACCGTTTCTGTAACTGTATGTCAAAATAAAGAAAAAGTTAAATAGTTTTAAAAACAAAAAAAATATTTAAATAAATTATAAAATGCATCCTATATAGTAAAAACACTTAATAGTTATGCATCATAATCATGAAATATCTACTAAAATTCAAAATATAGATAATGTAATAATATTTAGAATAGAATACAAAGATAATTACAGTAGAAAAAAAACCTATAGTAAAAATGTTATTTTTTTTTTTCTTATAAGCATATATATTGCATTATGGTTTTACACATCACATCTCAACAATTATAACATAAATTACTGATGACTGATCATCTTCTGTAAGTATCTTTCTACTTACAGAAAGTAAAATTATACTTCTGAAAGTATTAATTAATACTAATTTTATCAAAAGAGAAGAAGGCAGGAAATACTAGTAATAATAATGTAATATTTACCTCCATAATACATTATAAATTGGATCTAAGCAAACAATGCTTTTAGAGAAGTCAACTTGATTATCTTCACCAAAACTACAACAGTTTCCATCACGTTTGTTGATTACCAAACAGTTGAAAGATTTATCTTCGTCACTCTTTTTCGGCACCAAAACTATAACGGAATCACAAATAATTTTAACATTTTTATTTCTTCCAATAATAATACTATAAAAATGATATGAATTTATCCATTGGCCATTTCATTCTAAACCATTAGAGGCATTAACCTTTAAGTCTCAGATTCACAAGATTTTTATTATCAGAGCTATACCAACAAATTTCATCACATTTTTTTATTTTAAATATGATTTCTTCAGTATTTTTGTAAATAAAGATTTCTAAAAATCGTGAAACTACCCAATTTTAACATGTTTTTTACCACAAAAATGCTCAAATAATGGTGCCCAACTCACTGTCTGTGAATCCTAAGTCTTTCCTGATCCTATCAATTCTTACTGTTACCTCCTTGTGGCGCTCACAAGGGAGTCTGATGGGACTCAGGAACAAAAAAGGTGGGGCCCTACACTTTTTAGAGTCTATATTCTTGCTACGTCTTTATAACACACAACCAAGAAAGGAATTCGAGCTGCGGCTCAATGGCAAAGGTTGTTTAAAAATAGTCTGTCTTTGATTGGCCAGCTTGGGGCACCCCATTGTACTAAAGGCCTCCTATAGGGAGAGGGGGTTGTTTTACAGTGGTATTATCACCCCCACACTCATGGAAATATGTCAAAAAATAAATTTATTATAGCAAAATACCTTTATCAGAAAAAGATTCCTCATCTCTGGAGCTAAGTGAACTATTAGAAATAGCAGACATTGATGAGAACTTTATTGGATCCTTGATGCATTCCTGTACTCAGAAATTCACAAGGCTTAACATAGAAAATGAGAGGTTTGTGAAGAATGTGATGACCACAGCTTATTTAATTTTCAACTTTACTGTGCTTGATAGGTGATGAGGGTAATGAGGTGTTACCACAATTGAGGTTGTTGTAGTTTCTCTAATTATCACCGATCCAGCAAAACAGGTAATATTAATTCCCTCATCTACTATCTTCAAATTTGGCCCATCTGACATCTGATGGGAGTATAATAGTTATGGTCTCTAAGGCCCTTTTGACCATGAAGCTGCATGCATCTTAAACACTGGACAGTGTAATAGAACGAGAGCTTTCACACCGAAGATGCGAACACCTGGATGCAAGATGTACGTGAGTCTTGGGAACCAGCCGGCTGGAGATTTTCAGCATGCATCTTTGTTGTACTGGTCGTGCATACTCGCCCCTTCCACCTCGGCCCGCCCGGCTTACAACGCCAACGCTCGGTCTACTCTCTATCTCTCTCTCTCTCTTCTCAATTTTCTTTAAGTTCTTGTGATTGATGTCTCTATCAATTACATTTTTATTTTGAAGTATTTTTTCCCTTTTTTTTATCTATTGCTTAATTTTTTTTAACTATAGGCTTTTTTAATCAATTGCTCTGATTTTAAACTATTACTCCATATGTTTTTTGTTATTACCGTGGAAGATTAAAAATTGTATGCCAAAATTGCAATAAATAGTTGGTAAAAAAGTAATCAAAATATAAATAAATTTAATCATATTGTGAACTTTATCATCCGTTTGTACTTCATATATCATCAACGTTTTCAGGTCCTACCTCATCCATTTTTAAGGCTATCTAGTTGATTAATATTTACTAAGAACCACGAGCACCTAGAATCAAGTGACACACCCGACTCTCATAGTTTCTTTTCAGTTTAAATTCAAGCGTTCCAAGTACGAAACTTTCACCCTTCAACTATGTTACCCGACACAGAGAACTTCAATATGATCTTTGTTAAAGCAGTTAAAGACTAGCCTGCAATACAAGATACTACAGGTAAATAGTACTCAAATAGACATGAACAAGAGAAATCATGGAAGGCCCTAGCACAAAAAAAAAATCGAATCAATAGGTAAGAGAACAATCTACTTCTAATTTATTTGGGTCAGCAAAAAAATATATACTTAGTTCAATATCAATTACTATTAAAGTTATAATTTCATCGTCTGAAGAGTCGGATGATTGATTATTCATCTTTCAAACTCATGAACTAAACTAACAGAGATAATGGATATAAACAGAAGATGCAAGAGGCATGAGTATACTTGGTGTGAAAGTTCTTTTATCAATATGCAAGACGCACATGCATTCTGCATCCAGGACACATGCATCTTACATCTTGCATCTTCAGTATGAAGGGGGCCTAAACCTCAGAATGTGAGGATGGCTGTCCCTCTCTCCCATCACTTAGCTCAGAGAAAAACAAAATTCTGTATTCAAACAAGCCTGATGAGACAGAACTACCTTTGGGACCAACAGCCACGACTATAAAGGTCCAATGGTATGTGATACTTAAGGTTGTGGAGTCCACAGTGACAACAAGAGTCTGAAGCAAAGGCAATGCATTGAAAAAAACTAAGGTCCTCACCAAGAACAACTAGATTGGTAGCATATAGACAAAGAAAAGAATCAGGAGAGTAACATATACTAAGGCAACAAGTGGTCATACAATTGTGACAATGCTTGTAATATACTAGTGTGAAATTCTCAGAGAGCTTTTAGTTAACAGAGAAAAGTTTTATGTTCGCTTGATATACTTGAACTATTTAATAATTTAATTAATTAATGCATGGTATAAGTAATTAATAAGGAACTGAAATGGTCAAATTCATAAGAATTGCAACAAATCTTGATAAACTGAAAGGCTCACCATAACCAAAAGAAATTGTATAGCTTACTTATCGATGTCTTATTTGCAATAATGGTAGAATGCGAAAGGCTTGAAGAGTTGATTAGGCTTTCATCTACTCTTAAGAATGTCTGGTCTCCAGAAGCTCCACACCATGTGGCTCGTCTTCCAGACCTGGGTCCTGCCCAACCAACTAAGCCTGGTACACTTTGCCAAGCTCCTCCACGACTACTACCTTCACGGGACTTACAGCTTCCTTCACCTCTGCCCAGCTGCCCTTTCTATTTAGACAGAATATTTATTATTATTAATTGTTTTAAAATAATAATAATAAAATAAAAAGTAAATTTAAAAATATGGTAATGAAGTATGTTGAAATAAGACAGAAGTAATATAATAATAAAATCTATGATATCATACACCACATACACAATAATATTACAGAATAATACATATTTTTAATAGACTAAAAATTGTAATTATTAAATAAAAATATTGAGTTAATACAACCACAAAATTTCAGAAGGTTTGTGTAGTTATTCTATACTAGCTGACCTGGGCGAATACTCGGCACAAGATTAGCATTTGGATCAGATTTTAATATATTTTGATACGTACGTGATATTCTACAATGTTTGGTACATAAAGGTTTAATACATATATTTAATAAGCTATCAATTTGTAAATATCATTTACACTCTGCCATATGCACAAGCAATAAAAATACACAATTCTTATATTTTTCATTAAAAATAAAAATATAAGATTAATAATCTACCCACACATGTCAACATTTATTTTAAATTGGCATTATCCATAATATATTCTGAGAAAAAAAATTCATAGCAGAAAGAACAACTACAAATACAGATCAAAAGATGTAAATTGTTGAATTTCCTATTTAACCAAAAATGATAAGAATGTTAATGGAAGTGAATAATACAATATAATATACCTGATGTGATCCAAAAGTGTAGACTTGACCTTTCATAGTCATGATAACAGTATGGTTACTGCCTGCTGCAATAAGAGACACAGCCATGGGAACTTTGACGTGAACTGGACCGCCACGCACCATCATGTCACCAACACCAAGTTGACCATAACTATTGCTTCCGAATGTATAAACATCACCACTTTGAACAAGCACAACTGAAAAAAAAAAATGATTATACAAAAAATCTGATGTGATTATCACAATTTATTTTTCAAATAATCTCAAGGCTGGTTTAGATGGATAAGGATAAAATAAATTTCTTAAAATTAATTCCTAATAGATTTCAACCCACTAACAAATTTTTTTTTTTTTTTAAATAAAAAATCAATCAGGAAAAACAAACAAATCTATATATTATATTTACCTGTATGGTGGAGTCCACAAGCCACTTGTATAACTGGGCTTTCAGTAGGCAAATGCACTCTAGCAGGAGGTAGAGATGTAACCCTACTTGCATCCCGTTCAACATCACTGCCAACACCCTCCTTGTTAACAGGCTGTACTCCTTCAATATCTAACAATTAAATGTTTATTTAACAAAATAAAATTTAAATAATATAATACTGAGAAAATTCCTTGAAAAGTTCTGTAATAAGAAAAAACAATTTTAAACTTACTAATATGACTTGTCGATGCTGTTGGTATTGAGGTTTTGCAAGAAAAAAGAACTTTTGCCTGTGATGGAAGACAAGTAACACGGTTATTAGAACTACCTTTCATCTTTAAAGCAGAATGCTTGGCTGCTAATTTGGCTCTTTGGCGCTGTTTTCTCTCTTCTAACCTGTACTGAAGATGGTCCTGGAATCTGCCCCCTGGTCTTCCTACAATTAATATTAATAAGAAATGCTTATGTTATGAACACATCCACACATATAACATACCAAAAATTATAAAAATGGATAAAGTGAGAATTGTGAAATGAGAGTATTTATAACTCATAATTACCAAAATGATAGATCATTATGGGAAAATAGTAATACCTCATAATGGAATTAGAAATTAGAAATTATTTTCTAACAGTTGAAGTCAACTTGAATCATTCTGGCATTAAAAATTAATCCAAATCTAAATTTCCTAATATCTTTTAGTTAAGAGGAAGTATTATTGCATTTCATTAAATTTTATAACAAATACTATTTTAAATAAAAGATGTAGACTTCCTGTTCTTCCACAACTAGTTATGGCCATTAAAACTTTCTCAGCCTTATTTTTGATGCTTATTTATGCAGTTTTTTTTTTTTTTTTTTTTTTTCTCTTGCATTTTTAGATATTATACTTCACTATGTATAGTAGAAGTATGTTGGTTGATAAAGAAAATAAAATACTGGAAAAACCAAAAAATAAAAATATTTTAAGTTATTTTAAGATGGATGCAGTGAAAAGAGGAGCGATTAACTGTTTCACGAGGAAAGAAGAAAGTTATTGCCCGAACATGTACAATCTCTGGTAGAGTCAACTATGAGTAGATTTTGTTGCAAAACATGAAACAGTGTACTACATTATGTGTTGGTATGATAAGTTTGGGATTACTGGTTTGCAACATTGAGTGCTGACTCCATTATTGATAGGTAGACTTGTCAGCCTACTGAAGTTCAAAGAATTTATGAAAATAATGCTATAGACAGCAAAAGATACAGAGCACAGGCCAATATGGCCGTGGAACAGTAAGCTATAAAAAAAACAAAAAAAACAATTAAACAAAAAATAAATACTTGCCAATACTACATATTTATCATAAGAAAATTTGTTTGTTGTTTGATTTTAATTTGTAATATTAGGGTTGCCAATGAACTAAGTAAAATTTTCTAATGACTAACAATTTTTCATAAATACCACACTCCTATGTTGACCATTTATACGTAAGTATAAAGCTTTATTGAGCTCCAATGCAGAAATGCACAAAAACCTAAGTATAGGCATTAGAAAAAAAAAAAAAAAAATTGAAACGTAAATTAAGTCAAAATTTACCTCCAAAAATAAGATCCAATCTCATCATGTCAGCAATGTCACTCGCTCCACTAGGTCCTAATATTGCCATTTCTGAATTATCAACACTTTCACCATTTGCACATAATTTACAGGCACCACACTGAGAGCAGCCAGAGTCTCCCTCTCCACACCCACATTCCCTAAACAAAGTATGTTTTCAAGTAACAATTTTCAGTGTAGGACTTCAGTGGGAGTCTTGGGCCGAGAAAAGAAAAAAAAAAGTAACAATTTTTTTTTCAATAATTGGTTCATTAAATAAATTACTTAATTATTTTATTTTTATTAAAGAATAAGTTTGATTATACTATCAGACATTGACAGTAGTATTAGCAATTTCAAAGATCTTATCTAAACCTAAAATTTAGTTACTTTTGTAGAATAAGGCCGAATCTTGATTTAAAAGTTGCTGTGCCAGTTGAGGTGGTCCAGCCACATTTCTAACACGCCCGAATGCCAAGTGGACGGACTCATATATTGAACAAAAGTTGAAAGATGAATGATAGGAAAGCAATTTGGCTTTTGGTGCTGGGACATCAATACATGGACTGAATTAGTCATTTTTTTAAACGATATCAAACTTGCTCAGATTCAAATACCCTTCCATATAAAAATGCTGCAAATTATTTCACAATAGTTTATTATTTTCCAACAATTATACATCTAAAGCAACATTAGCTTTCAACAACATTAGCTAAAAAAAAAAAAAAAAAAAAAAAAAGCATTACTTCAGTAACACATTCAAAAATCAAAATAAAAAACAAAGGATTTGCAGTAGAACATAAAAAACAACCACCCATCGTAACTTTTTTTCCAGCTTCTTTTCACTGAAGTATGTTATATATATAAATTTAAAGGGCATCGAGAAAAAGACTAGCCCAAGTTTCACTGAAATCGGTACATTCGTTTAGGCTCTACAATCTATAGTAACGGAGGTTTTTCGGCAACGATTTTGAAAGGAAAAGGCGGATAGTAATGTCGATAAAGGAGGATTATCCTTGGGTAACCTCTGATTTTAAATCCAAAGTTGAAAAAAATTGATCCAATAGTTTTGGACAAAATGAGTGGACGGCGGAGGAAAAAAAATTTTTTTATGTGTTTTTCAAATTTTAACTATCCTGGAACATAAAACCTCAAATTTTGAGAGGGATTTAAGTTTTTGTTCAATTACAATGATTCATTATTGAAAATAATAGACCTAAAGAACTTGAATTTTTTTTAAATGATGAAACTAAGAATAAAAAATTTAAAAACCTACTGGCCAGCAATGGGCCAATCCCAAATCTCTAGTATACCATAAACGGCATGTATGCCTTAGGTTAACATCCCTGACATAACAGTACATAAAGCAATAAGTTCAAATTATTTGTAAAGTTGTATACAGAGCGAATCAAAAAGTTGGGAAATAATATAAAAATACAACTTGTCGAAGAAATCATAATGTAAGTTATAATATAGTTGATAAATTGTTCAACTTCTGTTGATTAATTATGGAATGTTGCAAATAATTATTTCTAGAAAATTATAAATTAAGAGAAGTATTTAATTATTATTAATACAGGACAAAAATTAAGGCAGATAGAATATTTAGAGTCTGACGTGGTTAAAAGTTGCTTATTAATATATTTTAATTGATATACTTTTAATGAAGAGAAGGATAGTTGGAGTGATCAGTAAAAAATAAAAATGGCAAAAATTAATAATAATATTTATTTTAACATTTGCCGATGTTTCGACCTGAAGTTCAGGCCTTTATCAGGGCTGATCGCTATTGATTTTTGTGGTATTGATTCTATCAATAGCGATCTCTTCGGTCAATAGCGATCAGCCCTGATGAAGGCCTAAACTTCGGGTTGATACGTTGGCAAATGTTAAAATAAATATTGTTATTTATTTTTGACTGATCATCCCAACTATCCTTCTCTTCATTATTCACTACAGTCAACCATCATCCCACAGATATACTTTTAAAATTTGTATTAATGTAATAATAAATATTAACTCACTGTCCAGGTATTCTGTCAGGACGCATACTACTGAGACAACTTATTCCATAACCCGTACATTCCCTGCATACAGTACACACCATACATAAGTCATGCTTCCATTTATGCTGTCCGGGAGGACAAACACCTCCTTCATCACCCCATTCAGCCTCTTCGTCTTCAATTCCTTCTTCTTCCACAGCCGTTTCCATTGCAACAATAGTAGCTACATAGAGAAATCTTTATTTTTAAAAAGAAAAGCTTAAACAAAATGATCAACTCGCTTCAAAAATACTAAAAGTTAACTAAAACAAGATTTATATATTATAGTTGTGATATAATTGGAAGATTCTAAACTAAGAAGTTTTTTTTATTATTATAATCTCAATTGGAAGCTAATATTTCATTTAAAGTTTTTATAAGTTGAGTTTGATCAGTTATTAACAATTAGTTATTACATGTTACCTAACTATTATTGATTTATTTACTTGAACTTAACACTCTTATGTACTAAAATGAGGGTAGAAAGAGTGGGTTATCCAACAAGTAACCATCCTATTGGCCAGAGCCAGAAATTAGAACTATATTCCATTGACCTGCTACGTAATGAATTTCAATATGCCCAGGCCAGATAAAAGTCTGTGCCATTTCTAATTCGATAATGTTTAAGGGCAATATCTAAACACACAGCCAACACAGCCTTGCTACTACCGAGTGTCTACCGAAACCTTTTGTAACCAAAATAGATATAATTTATTCTATTTTGTCCTGAAGTAAGATGAAAGACAAAAATGTTAAGCACCTGGTCAAATTTTTATAAACTGATTTTTATTAATTATCATTTTACATAATTGGTATAATATTTAACATTTTAAATACGGTAAGTGACAATAATAGAGATTTTATAAAAAAGTTATGAATTTTATATATGAATATAAAAGTTTTGAGAAATGTAACAAAAATTAAACAGCATACAGATAAAAATACTAAAGCAAGTTTTTTTGTGGCATTAAAATATTTTAAAAAACAATAAATTGAGTTTATTGGCAAGAAAATGCTTCTCAATAAATAGTTTAAAGAATATAATTAGAAAAAAAAAGTTAGTAAAAAAATAAATTAGAATTGCTGTTTATCACCAAATATCGAAAAAAACACCATATGTTCGACATGTCCTATTTATACGTGAATATTAACCATTAATAATATAAGCTTTTTGTGACCAACAATGACTTTTTGCTTAAGATTTCTGGCTTATAAAATTCTAGATAAAACATTATCTGACTTACTCAGGTACAAAATATTTCCTGACTTTGTAAGTATTACACGTATTATTGGCTCTGTAGACACCTTGCTACTAGCATTAATTGTGTTACAATCAAGGAAGAATATATTTTTGTATTAGGTAGAAATGCAGTATCATTATAAGAGAAGCTCAATATTACAGATTAGAGACAAAAATCAGCAACAGACTATATATATAGAAATGAATATAATTTTAGTATTATAGTATTTTAGTATATAGTATGAATATAATTTACTAATTAATGCCTTAATATGGAAAAACTACTATTTTTAAAACTATTTTAAATTTGAAAAAGAATATACCTTCTTTTACTTGGGGTATGAATTCTCTCCCACACTGCCCTTTATTGTTAATACCAAATGTATACAAGTGGCCTTTGTTTGTCACAGCTACTGCATGAGCCTTACCTAAGGCGACTTGAGTTATATGTAAATTCTTTAAATCTGTGACAAGTCCTAAAACCCAAAATATTGTTAATTATTGCAGGTAACAACTATATTATAATAAAGAAGGTGGGAGGAGGGAGAGGTAAGAATGACTGATGTGTTAGTTAAATTTGCTTAATTTCAAGAATGTGAATGTTTTGTCATTTAAGTATTTAAATGATAATTTAACATTGAAGTACGTATTAAGCACTTAAATGAAATATGCATAATATAAATTATATACATTGACAAAACTTTCACGTTATCAAAATAAAACAAAGTTGGCTTGTACCATTATTATTCTAACACCATCAAATATAACTAAATCTTGATCAGTTAGAGAAGGCAGGGGTATGGAAGAGTGGGGATGGCCCTCTAAAACTGGCCAAGGTATTAAATATGTTTAGCAAGAAAGGAAGACAACCTGGAGGGATACTAACTTTAAATAATTTAGAAATAAAAATAAATCAAATAAGGAATCATACCGTGAATACATCAATTACTATGTTGTTTGAGGTGTTAGTCATGATATGTTTATTAAAATTAATCTGATATTATTTATTTTAATGAACTTTTTCTTTATTTTAACATGAAACATTTAATTAATTCTATTAAAAATAGTATTAAAGAGAAGTTTTTAAGTTGAATACTACATTTGAATATAGTTGTTAGTAATAATTTATAGCAACATAAAAATTTTTTTGTTAAATAATCCATTCTTGACACACTATTAAACAAAAAACTGAATTTAAGTACCAGTGCTAGGATCACTATGAGAGGTGTCCTTTCCAAACATGAGTAGTTCCCCATTCTTGGTGACCAGTGCAGTTGTACCATTATTGCAGGCAGCATTAATAATTACGTAGCCTTCTACTTTCATGATTTTCTTAGGCTTCACGGCTTTAGGCTGACGACGGACTTTACCTACAATCAAATTTACTTTCAATACTGAGATCAAAATAAAGATTAAAAAAAACAAGAGAAAATGAATTAATTGAGTTATTACTATGATCACCATCCTCTCCTCTTCTTGCTGTTCCAACAAAGTAAACACTGCCATCTTCGGCAACTAAAACAGCGTGAAGACCATCATGACCAGCGACAACCTGACAAATCTTTGGACCTTTTGGTATAACAAGTTCAGACCATTTTCCAAAACTCCCTTTACCTCCCTGTTTAAAGCCAAGACTACTTGCCTTACCACTAAACAAAACCTACAAAAAATTTCCAAATATGATTAGCATTAAAAATTAATAACTGTTTTATTGGCAGCTTTTAGTAACTTACTTTTCCTGTGGTAGTTCTAATTAATGAAAATTCTTTGCCAGAGACAACATTAGCTATTTCTTCTTCAACACCAGTATTCAGATCATGTAGTGAAGTTTCTTCGTCAAACACAGCATATCCAAACACAACAACACATTTCCGAGCTAATTTTAATGGAAGCTCATTTATATAAGTAAATGGTGTAGTTGAAGGATTAATACTACGGACAACAAATCCATCCTGAAATAATAGAAAAACTGCAATTTGGAAGTAATTTTAAATGTAATAAAAAATAAACTCATAATTATAATTAGTAATTATTTTTTAAAAAGTTTTCAACTCTAAAGGAATCATTAGCATTAAAAACTTAGTGTTCAAAAATAAAAATAATCCCAAAAATATTGGGAGACAAAAATATATCTAAAGTAAAATATATGAAATAAATAAAAAATAGTTATTAATCAGTAGGATTTTTTTTTTGTTCTTCCCCACCTCGCCATTTTAGGCTATACAGGATTTCCCCGGGGCGGAGGGTGAGGGCGGGGAATTTAAAATCCCCTCCGGCACCAGGATGCAAACTCGTCCTTATTTTTGTCTCTCAAAACTTCATATATCTGGTTGCCGGGCAACTCGCGGTGCTGTGCACACGCTTAAGCCCATTCGGCCATCCCGCCCCCAATCACCAAGATTGTAAGTGTGAAAAGAAAAAGTAAATTTGCTGATAACTATCATCATCATAAGTCATCACTACAACCCAACACTGCAACTTGACCTCCTCAAGCAGTTTTAAGTTTCAGTTCTTTAAATTAAATGCAGCTGTCGTCCATCTTCAAACACCAAGCAAGTTTCTCGAATCTTATTTTACACAAACAGCTCATTTTAATATGGAGTTGCCTCTCAGTCATATTCCATATAGTTGTTGTTAAGGACTTAGAGGTGTAAAACACTGATGTCATCAACGCCTATGATAGTCCATATAGTTTCAGGGACATAGCAGAGATTTTCTTGGAATCTTTGTTCCCTCTTCGTGTACCATAAATATGTCAGAGAATCTTTCTTTCAAATATAAATAGGTCTTGTCCATTACGTTTATAAAAAGCTGATGTTTCAGATCCATAAGAAAGTACTGGGATGCGTATTGTCTACTGATAAAAATAATGCTAAGATTGAGAAATGGTTAATAACAGCTACATGATTTCATTATATCCTTTATTCTTACAATTTTTTTTTATACGCCATAATTTTATGAGAATCTTTGCTTGTTTCTTCGGAGTAAAAATCCTTGTATGTTCCAATTAGGGCAGAAATGACATGTTATCATACAGCTAACCAACGTATTCTAATCAAAGTGAGAAGGTCAGGATTTATTCCTTGAGATAAATTTCAATCATCCCAGGACAGATATGAACCGACAATCTAACCTAAAATTACTGAACTGTGATTAAATAAAATGTGTTTAAATGATTTTCTAAAAGATATGTAACAATTTTTCAAGTGTACGGCTCTATAGATTTTTAAGTTAGATATATTATATTATTCAGTGAGGTCCCTTGGGTTTTTAAAGTAAAATGGCAGACTTAAAGTAAAATTTTGTGTTCGGGATATCCGCTAAAAGGTATGTAACAATTTTTTGAGAGAAAGGCTGGGTCGATTTTTAAGTCTGATATCTTATGTTATTAAGTGAATTCCCATGAGTGTTTTTAAACAATTTGAATTAAAAACACTAACCCGTGATTGAATAAAATGCACTTAATCAATTTGATATGACGTATGTAACAGGCGTTTGTCTGGGAGGATTTTTATGTTTGATATCCTAAATTATTCGGTGAGATCCCGTAAGTGTTTTAAAATTTCAGCTCAAAATTCTAGAAAATTACTGTGTAAAGTGTGTTAATCAATCCACTAAGAGGTATGTAACTATTTTTTGAGCAGATGGCATGATTCATTTTTAAATTTGACAGCTGTAATTAGGCAATTAAATTCCATGAACTTTTTAAAACAATTTCAGCTCAAAATATTGAAAAAAAACTTTATTATAGTTTAAGAATCTCAATTATAAATTTATTTGAAATGATACTGTGTGATCATATGTCATGAAAACAAATTGTTAATATTTTAAAAGCTAAAAATAAAAAAATTATTGAATTAAAAAAAAACACACACAAATAGAGAAAGTGGAAAAATCTATTCACCCGAAGGGAATGTACTTCCATATCTACTTAAGCATTTTTGTAGATTGATAGGGAAATTGACATCTAAGAATATTTAAATTTGGTGTATTAGTCGATTTCTTAACATATCCATAATGAAACTCAAGACTCATTCAGATATTGACATGCATCGATTCATGTGGTCAAATCTATTTGCCTGGAGCTGTAATGTGTAGTGAAAGGTCTAGTTTTACATATTAGATTTTGGTCTGCATAAATAAATTCTAAATGAAATGAAAAGTAATTCACATTTGTCCCTTTAGAACAAATTGTAAAAACAAAATAAATAAAACAAGGTTTTTTGTTTCTTGATGTACACATGATGGCAATAGGTAGGATAGTCGTGTGAGTGGACACAACAGATTTTTATTATTACTAACAAAATTTATTTTAATTTGCCTTTGTAAGACAAGTTGTTTTTCGCGAAGTTCATTTATAATAAATCCTACAAAAAAAATCTTTCAATCCATTTGATAGACCTTCAGAAAGATTTTCCTCAGACATAACTATTTATAGGTGACATGCAGGTCAAGAGCACGCCACAATCTCTTCAAGCAGGAATCTTCTTACCCGACCGTTCACATTTAGCTATTTCGCGAACACAAGTTGTCCTCTTGTAACTTTCTAATAATAACAATTGTTGGAAGTAAAATAGTCACTTAGCCATTTGGCCATACATTAAATTAACTATTTACAAAATAACAGGTTATTAAAAATAAAAGTACAAGAGAGAAAAAAAAAAATTATATACATATATAAATAAAATAAACATAAGTGTGTTATAAATATCCAAAGTGTGAAATGATCATGGAAGAGTAGATTCCGAAAGTAAATAAAATAACTAGGCAAACAATGCAATATGTCTGGAAGATTTCCTCCTAGAACAAACCCAGTGAATTGATTGATTCCGAGTGAATCGGTGAATGAACCGAATCCTACTGAATCGGTTGATTCACCAAGTTTGTTCTAGGAAATATTCCAGTAGAGTATCATTGTTCGCTGAGTTGTTTTGTTTACTTTCCTAATCTGCTCTTCCATGATGATTTCACACTTCATACACTTATAACCCATGCTTATTTATTTATTTTTCTCTCTGTTTGGTTTATTTATACATATATTTATTTATGTATAGTTTTTTTTTTTCTTTCTTGTGCTTATTTTTAATTACCCATTACTATTTGATTTCCAGTTGTATCAACCGATTCTGAGTGAATTGTGATTCTTTCATGTAAATCACTTGAGAGTACGGTTCTTTCAGAGGAATCAGCTTTGATTGGACTCTCAATTTATCTGCCCATCTCTAGTTTAAAGTAGTGGTACAAATTATCTGATACTCATTATATGTTTATTTACACAAATTATATGTTTGTCATGATTCAATGTACTTGTTACTTATCAGTGAGAAATTATTTTGATATATTTCAACCCATTTCTACCTAATAGTTACGTCAAACTTTAAAACATGCAAGATGAAAAAAAAAATTCATTTCTCATTTTCAAAGTCAATAGAGCTAAACGGGTTCATGATTAAGAACAGAAGTATTTTCTAATTTAGACTTTATTATCTCAAAAAAATTGGAGGTATAATTTTTTTCTTAGTAAATTTATGAAAATTTTTTTTTCAAAATAATTTTAATTTTAACTAACACCTTTGTTAGTTAAAAATGATTGCTTTCGATAGTTTTGTGAATTTGTCATGTAATATTATTAATAAATTTTATCTTGATATTTTTAAACATTAATTCACCATCTGTTCCATCTTACGATTGTGTTCTTTCTCAAATCATATTTAATGAATGAGAGGTAGAAGAAAGGTATTATTTGGAAAGAGAAGCTAGACTGCCTGCTTCATAAAATAACAATTGTTAAAACAAATATTGAAATAGTAACTTTAATACCTCTTTACTTGGTGTTACAATTCCTAAATGATCACCATCAGAAAACATGACACCTGGGCAGTCTACTCGTCCAACTTCTTTGACAGAAAGAGTATCTCGATTGATTTCAAGAAGCTCGCCTCTTTCTCCAGATCTTATAACACGGAAGTATAGTTTTCCCTTTAAAAAAAAATCATATACATATATTTTTTTTGCTTTCCTAACACTAGGTAAGGGAATTTTTTTTTTTAAATTAAGAACTTATCAAATTAGAAATTACTTCAAAACTTAGTTTAATATTATTAATGAATAAAAAAATAAACAAACATATTTTTAATTCCTCAGATAGCTGCTTTAGTTTAGCATGTTCACAGCAGAACAGCAAAGAAATACATTCAGTACAAAATATTTAAATCTTATGAACAAGAATATCAAATTACTTAAAAAGTTCATCTTATTAGAAAACTAGGTAGTACATACATTTATTTAAAAAATAACAAAAATTTGAAATAAATAAACTTTATGAATTCAAATTAAATAGAAGATTAATTTTTGAAAAAAATACAAACATTTGCATATCCAAGCCAACCAGTTTTTTCAGGAAAATAATCCATATTCTGTGCATAAACATGTCCTCTAAGAGTACCACCATAACCAGAGCCTATCTTGAATAAACCACTGCTAGTGTGTATATACAGATATTTTCCATCGCTCGACAATGCTTTCTCATTCTCACAGTGTTCTGATGTTCTCAGTTCTTTAAACAAAAATAGACATTAAAAGTTAGGATAACATCAAAAATAGTAATAAAATAAGTTTATTTCATTGTTAAAATTAAAATATCCACATTTTTTTTTTAAATTTATCTATACTGAATTCTGCAACCTTATATAGCAATTTAAATAAAAATTTAACAACAGGAAAGATTAAGAATCAAAAGATACCCTTAACTGAAATAATGATGAAGAGACCCACATGGTTATGCTATGATTTATTATGGTATATAATGATCAAAGTATTGAAGTCTTAAAGAAGTCTTGTTTATGTATTTAAATCAGGTAAAATAGTCTCTGACATTTAAGATAACAGCTATTTCAACAAAACATAATAAACTACAGTATTTCGTAATTTATAGACTATGATTCTGTTGAATGTTCTCTCTAAAAAGTTGTCAGTGAATAAACTAAGTGGGAATTGAAAGCAATTATTAATAAAATTATTTATTTTTTGTACATATATAGTATAGATCTTCAAATTTATTATTTCGATTGATATGATTATATAAGAATCAAATATTGCAATGTATAAACTGAAAAGAACATATAAATATGACCTTGTGAATACAGCTGATGCAGACTAATCACTTTAATTACTTTCTAAGAATACAATTTAAATTATGAAGATTAATTGTGGCCTGAAATCAGCAGTATGCAAGAAAATATTTTAATACCTGGATGAAGTATTTGGTAAGTTGATAGTAAGGATGAGTGAGGGACTCCATGAGTTATCCAATCTGGAGCAACAGTTTTGCCTAGAATAACTCCCAAGACACTTTTTTGAAGTGATCCAAGGATATTAGGCATCTGAAAAACAATATGACAATAAATTTGAAATTAATAAAGGAATGCAATAATGAATAAAGGAAAGAGTGTAGATAAATTAACATGATTATTGAACTGTCACTTATGGTTAAAAACTGTAAGTTTGTTTTTTTAAATATTAATTTTAAATTAAAAATTTGATTACAGTAAAATATATTATTTATTTCAATATTTAGTACAGAAAACATGTTTTCATCAGATTTTCATTGAATGCTTAATTGGCACAATCATTAAGAAAAAATGAAAATACAGTATATTCCTTTAAGAAATCAATACAATCTTATACATTTTTTTTCTTTTTTTTTTTTTTTTTACCCCATGGATAAATTGGGAAAGGGATAGCTTAGTGGTAGGACACTAAGCTTCCAATGGTAAAGGTCCCAGGTTCGAATCCCGGCTCATGGCAGAAAAATTATTCATTCTGTTTCATTGGCTGTGGGGTGACCCGGGGATAGCGAGACCCTCCCAGCCTCTACAAAATGGGTACCTTTAATTAAATAATTGATTCAGGGATAAAACCTGGCGGTTGAGCGTGTTCCTAGCCTAAACCCCTCCTTGCATAACCGTTGGCCTTGAAACAGTACTTTCTCTCAATAGTACCGAACCCAAGACCTTTCATGGTTTGTAGTGGTACAGGTTTTTTTTTTTTCATAGATAAGTTATTGAAATTTAGAAAAATTTTAACTTTGTGGAATGGAATTTCTTGTACTGCATAGATGGTATCCATTATAGGGAGTTATGGAGAATTCTGATTTTTGAAAATTGATAATTGCTGAATCGATAGTTTAGACAAGGCTCATTAGTTGTCTAGTGTAGGTCCAGTTAGCCATCCAGTCGAAGTTAGTGTTTTAAAAAGCGAATTAGTTGGTCTATCAAAAAACATTTGTGTTATAAAGTCTGTCATAGTAAGTAGTTCTAAGATCTTGTGGAGTTGGTCTGTTTTTTCTTCATAAGTCCTAAAGGAGATGTTTATTTATATAAGTAAATGAATAAACTTTAATAAAAGTTTACTCTACAAAACAATTTTTTTTCTTCATTTCGATTATGTTTCGGGATCACTTTATTATTCCATCTTCAGAACATATCTCATCTTTCTATCATCTATTTTTTAAAAAAAGATTTGTCATAATTTCCATTTTTATAAACTATCCCTTAGTTATATTGTAGACTTCTCTAGGGAGAGCCTAGTCAGACACTAAATGACAAGTCTATTTTAGAAAATTAGATGATAGAAAAATGAGATATGGTCTGAAGATGGGATAATAAAGTGATCCCAAAATGTCATCAAAATAAAGAAAAATTTTTTTTTGGGAGAGTAAGCTGTTACTAAACTTTATTCACATACATTATATGGTCTGTTTTTGTTCTTTGTAATGAAGAGTGCCAATCAATACAATAACCACATTATACATGTTTAAGAATAGCAGTTAAAGATTATATTGAAAGAGGTGAAAATTAATTTAAATAGGACATTTAAATGTACTTTCTCAAATATAAAACAAATTGTAAAATATATGATTAATCACAGTGAGCTTATACTTGCAGTTTTTCATTTAGTAGTTACAAAGATAAATTATCTGAATCTGGGACACAATGTTCCCTAAGAATTGAGTTATAGTGCAGAAAGCAGTTTATACCTCGTCAATAATGAATGTTAAGGTACTTTTCAATAATATATAATGTTTGTGTTAATAAGATTTTTATTTTTCCCATTTGCAGGATAAATAATTGGAAGATGCCAATAGGACTTTCACATTAAAAAGTCCATGACTGACCAATCTATCTCCATTTGTGTAGTGGTGATTAAAGATCAACAGAAAATACCAAAAGGGTACTCATCATCATTCATAGATCTTAGCTATAACTATCTAGCTTATAATTCAGTAAATATGGAAATGGTGTATAAAGCAATGCTGGAACTGGATTATTTCCCAAAGCAATGGGAGCTATAAGAATTATAATGAAGGATAAAAATCTGTTTGTGAAGGTGCAAAATGAATTATCTTGAGTTTACACTTAAGTAAGGGGTGATGCAAGGTGATGTCTTCGAACAGCTAGAGAAGGTATCATTCCCGAACCATTTTTCAATTTGTTAAAATAAAAAAAAAGTTATGTCTTGAATAAAACAGGAATAATAGTGATGTGACAGCATAAAATGAAGAACATTAAAAATTTATGTCGTAGCATGAGAGCAAAACCAATGCCCTTAAAACTCTCAACAAGTTATTCATGATTTGGGACAAAGGGGATGTTCATGGACATGATGTTATCCTTAGACAGCAAGAATAGAGAGAGCATGGGAAGACTCATTAATTGGGTTGCAACATCTAAGAATAATGTAAGAAGGTGATAGAGGTATGATATACCTCTATACGTCATGAAAGAAGAACAAAAGTAAAGTTATAATAATAATTGATTCTTTTATAAGTTGAAGCAAATTATTAAAACATTTAATAACGATAAATTTTAATTAAATAAGATGTGATAATGATAATGAAGAATAAATCAAAGAGTTTATTATATTCACAAGGGCAGGATACAGTCAGTGAGTCACCGATGTAATCAAATTTATTTAGGATAAATACATACAAAAATATGAGACATATGTCCTTGTATTCATCCCAACGGACCTTAGAAGCCGATAAAAGAAAAACTTTATATAATTAAAAATGTATGCACAGATAACTAGATTATTATATAGAAATAAAATTATTTTTATTAGTGTAAAAAAATATTGCTTATAGTATCTAAATGAGTTATAATATATCATAAATTACAAAACCAAAAGATGCTTATAGTAAAGAAGGCCAAGTAAATTTTTGTTGGGAAAAACCAAGTTAAATTTGTTTTTAGAGCCCCTTAAAGCTCATAAATGGGAATGTTTAAAGAAATAAAGAATTACAAAATTTAGTACTTTGTTTATTTTTCTGGCCGTCAACTCATAATTCCTCAAGAAAATCATCCTAATTCAACTTAAGTCCAATTATTGCAAAGCTGAAAGAATAACTGCTTTTCCAATCCATATCAATAACTTTTAGTTGTATTACTTTATCACTTTGAAATAAAGAAAACCTTTCAATATTTTTTGATTATATATCTGAAGTTATAATTTGTTTCTTGGGATCTGGTTTGTGTCATTTTTTGTAGTTTGCAGGACACTAAATAACTGCTAATCTTACTGAGGATTAGTGTGAAATTCTCGATGATATCAACATTTTTGTGATAGCCAAATAAATTTAGAAGGATCCACCAGACCTAAGGAAACAATTGGTATTTTTCAATTTCAATAAAAATTTATATCTAAGGTATTTTCTTAAGATGAGAATAATGAAAATGTTCTTCCCTTATTTTCAGCCTTCTGATGTTTAGTAAATAATACTCAACTAATAATGGTACTGGTGGGAGGAACCAGTCTGGCAAGTGGGCCTTTTGGCCAATTCCTGATGGCTCACCTTGAGGTTGCCGCCACATACTTACCAGAGGATTTCAAGATTCATTTCCTGGAGACGCTGAGAAATAAATATTAACCAACCCAGGTGGGAATTGAATCTACAACATTCAGAACCGGCCATTCAGGGACATATGCCCTAAAGTGCTGACATATCTTCCTCTTATTATAGAAATAGCTGTTTGAAATATGATATATAAGAGTGATGGTGCAAGTGGTGACTTCCGACACATTCATACTAAAGAGTGTCTAATGGCAAAAAATTCCATGCATTGGCAGATAGAGCATACAATTTAAGAAAGTAACAAAGCATAAGGCAATAAGTTGTGGCCAAAATGTTTAACTAGATCAATCGTGAACTAATAACTTCAGCTGCTTTCTTTAGCAGACTGAAATATCATGATTCTCTTAAAAAAAAATTGGACCAACCGAGGTAGAAATGTGGATATGATATACAAAACAGTTATCAGACCATTTGTGAGGCTTGGGTATTAACAAAGTGTAAGGATATTAAAGGTATGTGAAGGAAAAATGCTGAGAAGAATATATGGACATCTATAAAAATTGTAACTGGAGTATTAGGAAAAATAGCAAGGTCAAAGAAATTTTTGGGAAGCCAGATGAGGTATCCTTCCTTAAAAAGAATGTGGGGACGGCCTCACTAAAATGGGAAATTAACAAGGAAAATTTGTTAAGTAAAAAGGGAGTCAGAGAGGCTCACCCAGGATTGGAAAGAATGAATTAGGATTATAGCCTCAGACATTAGGCAGATAAGTTTAAATATTTCATTCTTAATTAATGATAGAACTAAAATCATGGATCCTGCTCTTTTGAAACAACACAATAGCTCAATAGACTGGGTTAGTAAAACTTAAGGATTGCTGATTTTTATTGCTCAAGTTTTTAATCTAAGGAATATTTTACAGTAGGGCAAGCTAATTAATTATTAAAGCAAACAGTAGTTGTAAAGTATGAAGCTTCACTAATCGTTTGTGTATGTGTTCATAAAATTTATGAATTTTGCGTATGTAAACATTTTTGATAATATTTTATTGTGTATGTGAATAAACATGTTTTTACAATATTTCTTATACTTCCTAACTAATTAGAGAAAAGAAAGATATTTAATGTGAAAATTCTCGATTGGATATACTAGTATTATCATTTCAAAACAAGTTTCTTTTCAAAATGAAATGAAACTTGAAAATGTAATCTTACTTTCTAAGGACTTTACACTCAAATTTTAAGGAAGAAACTTGTAAATACAGCTTGAGCATTACTTTTTTTGACTTCACAAATATATAAAATGCTACATAGCTAAGACCTTTCTATCAGTATTCCTGAAGTTATTACTACTATTATCATTAAATAGTTATACAACTTTATAACACTAACATCACAAAAGTTGCTGAAAAATTTATAAAAATATTTGGACTTTTATTAATAGTAATAATAATATAACTAATAAAATGATATATTCTCTTCAACCCTTTTTATATTTGTTACACCACACCCAATGCTAAGTGGAAAAAAAAAAAATCTCATTTGTCTTATTTTCAGGAAAAAGAAAAATACCCTTTGGGCTAATTGTAACGAGTTTAATAAAATGTCTATTACACACAAATACAAAAATAAAAGTAAAAAAAAGGATGGAAAAAAAAAGTTTATACAGTACATTACATTTAATTCAAAAGCTACTCCAAATATGTTTTTAAATATTACATGAATAGGTTGAACAGCAAGAAACTGAGGGCACATAAGCAATGCAGCAAGTGCACTGAGAAGTTTTCCTGTGTCTCCCCTTGCTATTACAAGGGCAATGAGGCAGGAACAAGCAACAGATGTAAGATGCGATGCATCATTAGTGGCTTCATGAGACATTGTAGCTAGCTCAAGAAGTAATTCCATGAGTGGCTCTGAAAAAATAAACAATAAATATTTTTCAAAGAAAGAAATTCATGATGATAACATAAAATAAATGTGTTATAAACTTACCAACAACTTCTGGTGGTTCAAGTTTTAAAGCTTCAGGTTGATGTCCCTGGACAACATCCAAGAGTGCACTTAGAGCTTTAGTACACAAAGCAGGATAACTAGTTCTACTTTCCCGTATTAATTCAAAAACACTTCTCAGTCCAACACCAACAATCTAAAACAAATCAAAGATATTTACTGAAAATGGATAATAGGATTTAAAAAATTAACAATACGAAAAGTATGATCTAGTATCAGGGAGGACACGATAACTAAGCATGCTGAGATGAGGATTCCAGTGTGCCTGGTTAGAGAGAATAGGGTTTCATCTCCACCTGGTTCAGTTAATTTTTATTCCATTGTTTATACAAAAAATCCGGTGCGCGCACCACACAACTTCCATATTCGCTCTACCTTTAATAGAAATTATTTCCTGGCAATGTTGGGCTATTATAAAATTTTTGAAGTTTATTTCAAACGGAGCTAAAGCTTAAAGCTTACAGATAACAAATCATTAAGATCATTAAAATTACAAAAAGTCTATTTATTATATCGATGGTAGGCAAAAAAAATCTAGTTTTTAAATTTAGTTCATCTGCTTTTATAAACCACACAACTTCAGTTTCTGAGCCTTTCAGTTAACAGAATGATTAACTCCAATTTCAATATTTTTGAGTAATGCTATATTAGTGATATTTCTAGTTGGAAAAGTTATGTCAAACCATATTAAAAGTACTTTGGAGGAAGACATATATGAACATTGGGAATTTATGCCCTTTAAAGTGACATCAATGGGGGTAAGACCTAAATGATATTAAAGACAACTTAATTATACAATGCTTCACCGAGTTTAATGTAAATCGTTAGAGCCATTTTTGAGAAAATTGTAAAAATCTGTTTCAGCGTTGATATAAAGTGGCATTTCCAGTTAGCTGATTTTAAGGAAAAAGGTTGCCATAACATCAAAGGAATATACCTACCTTAAATATGTAATATCAGTTTCGTACTTTTCGTTTTTGAGCTAGAATGTTCACATACATACACACACACAGATCATTTTGCGGGACTTGGTTGTTTGGACTCAGGAAACCTCAAAACATGTATTTCCGTTGAAAACTCAGATTCAAAAAGTTTTACGATCACAATACTTACTCTTGCTATATATTTCATATATAGATAAGAGAAAGTAAAAATTAATTCTGACACTCATACATATGTTAGGACTAGATGACAACCTTTAGGCAATCTGCAGGGGTTTGTAAACAAGATCAAATGACCCATATGTTGAATCATTTCTGATACCCAATTCCAATTTAATTGTAAATGCTGAAGCGAATAATTTTTTCTAAAATTTATTTAATATTGTAAAATATGGTGAAAAATTCTTAACACTGGACAAACAAAAAACCTAATTTTTCCAATGGATTTACCTATGTATATTCAATATGAATATACTTACTATACTGAGAATTAGTTAAGTTAAGAATTTTTGTTCTCATGACAAATAGTCAGACTTTAAAGAAGCTTTCATTTCGGATTAAGAGAAAAATAGGCAATGATTTTCAAATCATAATAATAGAATTATGTACATTTATTTTTATCAAAATTCTCTGCAACAGCCAGGATTTCAGCAACAGAAGTTGAGCTCAGAAAACTAGTGTTATAACTATTAGGCCAGCTTGCTTCCATAATGCAGGTTGTGCATGATTAAGAGTCACCTCACTCACTGAATACCGATGATGTGTATATAAAAGAAGATTCTTGAAGAGAACACTCTTGACAAAGGGAACCGGTAGCAGTTGACAACCTCAAAAGGAGCTATCTCAAGGAAATATTTTTTCACTATTTGTTTCCAGTTAGGAATGAAATGGGTTGTGCCTGATTACTAGGTCTCCCAGCTATCCACTGGGCATGGGGCTTCCAAAGAAAACTTGTTCAATAGGGGAAGAACATTGATCCTCTATGCCCCAGTTATGTAGTATCACAAAATGCCCAACACATTGTCATTACCTGGACTGCTTCTGAGATACCGATAAAAACCAGTGTTTTATGTTTTGGAGGTGAGCAATTCCCTTAGGTGAGTGGAGAAAACAATTTGCACTTCAAAGACTTTGTAAGTTGGTGAAAGACAATTATAGTCTCAAACCACAACTCCGGAAGAAGAGAATGTGCTGCACCAGTGAGAAGAACCAGATGGAGATGGGACAGAAGAATATGAAAGCCAAACGCATAGAAGAGCAATCTCAAAACAATGTTCACAGCTCATGAAAAAACTGTAATTGTTTTATTGCAGCAGTATATTATTAAACGGTCATGCGTAACATTCCACTGCAGATAACACACGCGTGTTGCCTGTCAGACTAGGTAAAGTTGATATTAAAATTAAATAAAAAGATTCTAAATCTTTTGTTATTCATCTGTAATCTAGGATTAAGGAAGAACCTGATATTCAACAAAATATAACACAGAGGTTTATAAAATTTAATATTAAAAAATAAAATACTTTAGGGATTTTTGGTGGTTGTGGTGCAGGATGTAGAGTTTCCTCTTCACTATCATAAGTTGAAGAAGACTGTGGTGGAGCACTGCTAGATGATGTTAAGTACAAATCGTTAGCTTCTTTCATCCATCGTTCAAGTACTGCCAGCCGTACTGTGGAAAAAACTGCAAAACTAGAGGCATTTCCAGCAATTTCAATTTCTGGAGGCACTTCTCCGACAATTTCAAGCTACAAAAAAATTTATAATCACAAATTATTTAAAAACAACAGCAATATTGATATAAAATATGACCTGTAACTTTACCTTAGGCTTTCGATTTTCTTTTCCTTTAAGAGATTTATGGTTTTTGTGTTTTTTCCATTCTATTTTCTTCCTGTCAATGAATCTAAATATTAGTTTATAAATAAATTATTGAGTATGATAGTAAAGTTGTAAAAAAAAACAAATAAATATATGTTTATTTTGTAATACAATGCTGGAGAACAAATATAAATAAATTATTTATTTGTAATTTAACAACTTGTTGGCAAAGAAAATAGAATATTGATTTTTTGGGTGGATGAGATCATCATACTTACTTTAATTCAGGAATTACTCTGAATAACTCATAAAAGTTTAATCCGAAGTCGTCAGGTTCGGGAAACATTTTGGTATTATCAATTCTGATGGAAATTAATCGTCAATATTCAATTCTACATTTTAAATAAATCGCCTTTGGAAAGATAACAATGTTAAAGCCTCCAGCCGCAATAACTCCGTTTACAGCGCTGCTATCAACAATGACTCATTCGTCAATTCCAGGATTTATTACTGATCATTAAAATTTAATAATAAATTTAATACTTGTGTATATTTAAATAAGGCAATGCTTTTGTTTCCTAACTATCGAATGTAAGCAAGCTCTTTTATTTACACGAGAGGTTAACAAAATTGTTATACACGGAATCTAAAATTGTTTAGTGTTTTACGTTTTAAACATCAAGGAACAAATTTGATTCTGTCTGTAGTGATGAGCGTATCATCTTCTAACGTTTATCCGATTTCAGAAAACTTTCTAAAAATGTTTTTTTTTTTTAGATGTATTCATATCCATTTCATCCAATACTTTTGCTTATGCACGCGAAAAGTATTTTCTTATTAGATGGCCTATATTTCAGAAAAAGGTCGTTCGATTTTGCTCAAAGTGGGAAGAACGTTTGGTATTGGTAAAAAAAAATTATGCTATATCAATTATATTTAATTCCATTCACTACTTTCTCACACATATGCACATAGGTATTTTCCTTGCGACGTCTGCTTGTTCGATTTGGCATAGATTTGGAGGAAATTAGGCATTGATAAATAAATGATCAAGTAGGTATCAATTTCATCAAATTCTATCAACTATTTTCAAAAATACTTCTGCTTTCGAATCTGAAAAATGATTGCATTTGACACGGCCTTTGGTTTGAAACGGCTCTTACGATTTGAACCAAAATGGAAAGAAGTTTGGATAATAGTGTACTAATTGCCGAACTAATAATATCATTAAATTCCGTTAATCATTAAATTCATTTATTAATAAAAATTAATATAAACAAATGCAACAAATATAATAGTTCTGAAATGCGGTGGTCATTGAACTTATAGAAATGAAGGTTAAATTTATAATTTTAGACTACTTAAAAATTTAATTTAAATTGTATTTTGATGTAAATAGGGCGACCCTGGGTTGGGAATCCCTCCTGGGGCACACCCAGCCTCTATAAAGTGGGTACCCTTAATTAAATAATCAATTAAGGGGGAAAACCTGGCGGTTGAGTGTGATCTCGGTCAAATCACCCCCTTGTACAACCGTTGACCTAGAAACAGTACTTTCCCTAAATAGTACTGAATCCCAGACGCTTAAAGGGTTGTAATGGTACAAGTTATTTTTTTATTTTTTTTTTTTTCTGTCAATTCCATATGACTGGCATGACACCTAATGCAGTTACTTATATTTCTTTTAATTTTCAGTTAGTAGGAGGGTTGAAACTTAGACGATCCTGTATCCGTGAAAGTCTGTGGTACAGACTCATTTTTTTTTTCAAATTATTAACATATGTCTAAATCTTCGTGAATGGCTTTATCTCATCGTAACCTACACATTTTTTATCTACGAAAACTCTCAGAAGTGTGGCATTTTCTCATTAAATTAATTAATTAGATTATGTAATCACAACATAGAAAAAAAAAGATGGCCTGTGACAATATTGGACCGTTTGGCATATATAACTAATGCAGTTACTTATATTTCTTTTAATTTTCAGTTAGTAGGAGGGTTGAAACTTAGACGATCCTGTATCCGTGAAAGTCTGTGGTACAGACTCATTTTTTTTTTCAAATTATTAACATATGTCTAAATCTTCGTGAATGGCTTTATCTCATCGTAACCTACACATTTTTTATCTACGAAAACTCTCAGAAGTGTGGCATTTTCTCATTAAATTAATTAATTAGATTATGTAATCACAACATAGAAAAAAAAAGATGGCCTGTGACAATATTGGACCGTTTGGCATATATAACTTTCGTAAGGCATCTATAGGGGAGGGGGAGACTTTTGGGCTGAAGTCCCCTCCCATAATGGTAAAATATAACCATGTTTTATGGAAAAAAAAATTAAAAATTATCTATTAAAGTATTATTGTTCGTGTAATTACATTTAATAGGACTTTAGAAATCACTTGAACACCATTTCATGTAGGTAGTCAGTTTCTTTCTTTTTTCCAAAGTAATTATCTTTGTTTTTATGAAAAAAAAAGCTTTCGGGCTGAAGCTCCCAAAATTAAATCCTGGATCTGCTAGTGGGTGAAGGTCACGATCCAATATTTTTGGAGTTACGATCCAATATCAAATTTTCTTATGATTCAATTGGAAAGCAAATGGATGTTCTTGGGTTTTTATAGCCTAATTAAATAGACAAAGTTTGCCGCTCTCCAGATTGAAAACGCCCCAAATCCGAGAAGTGCAAGGACAAAGCTTGTGAATATATGTGTATGTATATTATACTTATATATGTAATCGTTTAAACAAAATTGTGCAGGATCAGAAGAAAACAGTAATTAATTTTTTATCACAGATTTTAATAATTAATGTCTTATTTGTGATTGTGTTTGTTTCTTTTGAAGTTCAACCAGCTCATTGTGGTTAGTGTTGTCCAAAATCGGTCTTGGTCTTGCACTTTGCAAGACCAAGACCAAGGCCGCCTAACTGTTGCAAGACCAAGATCAGGACTGGTAAAAAAAATCGATGTTTTTAATAAAAAATTAAGGCAAAATAGTTACTAATACTCGACAATCTTAGTTACTATATGTAAATAATTTATATAACCAATATAGTTTTGCATTTAATTCCTCTAATTTTTCATTCAGGTTAGTTAGGTTTCTCCTATCTACAAAATACAGTACTGTAAGACTGTTGCGAGACTCCTGTGCAAGACCAAGACCATGACCAAACTGAGTTTGCAAGACCAAGACCCGCCTGGGTCTCGCATTTGGGCAACACTAATTGTGGTCTCTATTTGTCACTTAAATTCCAAAGTGCTAAGGGGTTACATTACACACCTATTTTATTTTTATTTTTTTTTTAGAACTAGTTATTGTTGAAGGGTAAGACGAAGGCATCAATAAATTTTAAGTATGTATAGGCCTTTTTTTCATGTAATTTGTAAATTACTACATTCCTCCTTAAATTAGTATTGTCCTGGCTGATGGAAAATCGTTAACACTGAACAAATAAAAATTTGTATTTTTTAAGAATTTACCTATTAAGTATGCTTGCTCAATATGTACATACTTTACTGAGAATTGTTTAAGTTCATGTTTTTTTTTGTTTTTTTTAATCACGAGTAGTCAGATTCGCAACTATGAAGCTCTTCTGCATTTTGGTATTACCTGATAATCAAAACCTCGATTGTTGAGGTATTACTGCATTTCTGAAACGGCTTCTCATAAAGATTTTATTCACAATCAATGATATAGTTGATCTTAAAATATAGGTAATTGTGTAACCAATGAAAATGGTTGAGAAGTTATAACTGACCTTACTTTGTAGACTTTTTTCTTACCTTTTTTTTTTAAAAAAATGTTAATGACACATAGCGTAAAAAATAAAACTACTTAAACCTCACTAATATTCAAAATGAAACCCCCTTTTTATCGAATTAGTAACGTCCGCCTGAAACTTCATAAATAGTTTCGTCTCATCGTAACCTACAACTATTTTATTAACGAAAACTCGTGGAATCCGGGACATTTTCAATCTGGAGGGGGGCAAACATTGTCTATTTAATTAGGTACTAAAATCTCGTAAATACTCATTTGCTTTCTACTTGAATCGTAAGATAATTTGATCACACAATCGAGAAAAAAGGTGGGCTTCAAAAATATTGAGCCATTTATCCTATATAACCTCATTATTTTGAAAATTTGGGGGTGTAGGCCACGCTAAAAGGCTCAATATTTTTCCTCTAGTGATTTGAAATGGAAAGAATCATTTTCACGTTTGTCAGGTTCTGATGCGTGTATAACTGAAATCTTAGTTCATTTTCTCCAAAAACTAGGGCATAAGCAGCTTTCATGTTAGGGGAGAAAGACGCACGTTATTTATTTTTTGTTGGAAAAGTTTATTATTTTAACAATTTATAAATATTTTATGTGAAATACAATATACACATAGAACAACAGCTTTTAAAAATTAATTTCCACTAACTTTCGGAACAATTTTGTGTTAGATCATGTTCTATTTTTTTTAAAATTATTTAGGGGTGCAAAGGCTACCTGCCCTCCCCTTCATACGCCCGTTTCCAGAAATAATTTTAATAACATTTGAAAGTATAAAATAACATTTGATATGTATAATTCAAGCAAATGGATAGACGGATGGATATCTATTATTTTAACAACCCGACAGTCATTTACCTTAGATTAATGTTTGGATTCGTTATTTTTAAAACAAAGTGCCTATACTATTGTTTTAAAAAAAAACATCTACTTTAAACATAAGAACAATAAACGATTAAGACATATATTTCACTCTGCAATAAATATTTGGTATTACATAAAATTATTTTTTTTTATTTATAAAATTTGGGAGTGTCTTAATGGTTGATTGCTGTTCTGGGAACATAATTGGTCAGATTTTTTGGATGTAGATGCACATTGAAATTATTATGGTGTAATTATCACAAGGCTGCGATGTTGTTAATGGCATTCAAATTTAATTAAATTCAATTTTTGTGGTATATATAAATTAAAGAGATTTTTTTTAGTTTCAATACTTTATTAATTTTATATTTACATCATCTAAATAAAATAAAAATAGATGTCATTTTAGATAATTTTTTCAAACGTATGCTTTCAATAATTTACTTATATATTGTTAAAAATTCTTAATTTGTTTCGTGGATTTTTACAGTTGTTTCTTTATTTTTCGTTATTGGTTTCATTGAGTTTTTGTCTAATTCACCATCTATATTTTCTTCCACAGCATCAGTTTTAATAATTTTAATTTCTGGCACATTTTCGAAGGACTTTTTTGATGTTATGGAGTCCTCCCTGTTAAATTTTTTTTCTGAAATGTCATCATTTTTTCTATCTGGTGTAATGCCCTTTTTCGTTGATATTTCTTCATGAATATTGTTCTTCTTTAATATTATTCCTGAAAAAAGAAAAACGAAATGAAATCAGTGATAATATTTTTAAAAAATAACACGTATAATAAAAATAAACAATAATATTGCATAAGAAAATAAGAAACGTCAGCTCCTTAGACATGAGGAAAATGAGAGGAAGACAAATCTTAACGACGTCTATTATGTTTACACAAATAATGTCTTTGGCTTCAATGTAATACTCCCAAAGCTCAACAATAAGTTTTGGTTTATTATTTTCAATAATGAACCATTGTAATCGAACAAAAAATTAAAAAACTTCACCCGTTCTCAAAATTTGAGGTTTTACGTTTTAGGATTCGTCCCCGTCCCCTCATTTTCTTCGAAACTACTTGACCGATTTTTTTCAAATTTGGATTTATAATCAGAGGTCACCCGAGAATGATCCTCCTTCATCGAAATTACTATCCGCCCTTTACTTTCAAAATGGCGGCCGAAAAACCTGCGTTGCTATAGACTGTAGCCCCTAAACGAATGTACCGATTTCAATGAAACTTGGCTAAAGTCTTCTTCTTGATGCCCTTTAAATTTATCTATATGACACACTTCAACGAAAAGAAGCTGGAAAAAAGTTACGAGAGATGGTAAAATTAGATTCTTAATAACTCAAAAAGTATACACTTTTTTGTCGATATTGTAATGGTTTTTTAAAATTTTACGAAATTTCCTTTTAAAAAATCGTTAAAATCGGACAATTAGGAACAAAGATATGGTCTCTAGATATTTTTTATGTTCTACTACAAATCCTTTGTTTTTGATTTTGATTTTTGAATGTGTCTCTGAAGTAATGTTATTCGGGATTTTTTTTTTTTTTGGTTTTTTTACGCAAATTACCAATAATGAAAAAAAAAATGTTTAGGCAAATAATTGGAATTAACATTTTATTTCTTTTAACTTTTAATTTGTCACTAGAAAGCTAATGTTACTTTAGATGTATAATTGTTGGGAAATAATAAACCATTGCGAAATAATTTGCAGCGTTTTTTATTATTTATTAGTATAAACGTTTTTCCTTTAAATTAAAAAAAAAAAAATATAATATTACATTTACATTTTGTAATATATTTAAAAAAAATATATTTATGAGATAAAATTTTAATCTTCAGATCAGGAAAAGTACCATGTTGGTTTGTTAACTTAAAAATTAAAGTTTTGTCCAATCACTTTCATCAAATTAAACTTATTTGATTCTAATTGACAATCAATTTTTAGCGTTCTTAATTTAAAATATATCCCAAAGTGGAAACGGGGTAATTTTTTTTTTATTTTTCCAGTTTATTGATTCTAAGGCAACAAGTCTCTTTCTCTAAGATATCAACAATCTTTGTTTGGCCTTGAATGAAATGTATTAAAATTAATGGAAGTTATTTCAATTGAAAATAACATCACTAAATTTTCTATTTTTTATTTCCCTCATATCTTAGAGACTGACATGAGATATACTGCAAACCAATAGGTAATATATTACTTTGCTAATTTATTAGTTGACACTTTCTTTAATGACATTATATATTTTTTTGACATTAAAATATTTCTTCACATTATCTTTAATGTTATCGGAATCAAACTTAATTAGCAAGATAAACTCACCTGGCTTCTTTTCTTGAACATGATTGGTAACATCATTGGAACAATTATTTTCATCTTTAATAGCATTTGCGGTGTTATCCTGAGAAACTTTCCTCAAGGAATTCGTATTGATCATTTTGCACCATTTATTAAAAGGAGAATCTATTTCAGTTCCTCTTCTTTTCTTATTCGCTATTTGAAACATTTTTCTCCTTTCTTCTGTTCTTTCTCTTCGAAGTTGGATCTAAAAGAAATAAGGCACAGACAACGTAAATGTTTTCTATATCACTAATAGAAATAATTACTAATGATGTGATTAAAGTCATTAACAACAGATATAATTACTGGTTGTAAATTTCTAGTGTAGTAGTACTGATATGTTTCTGAACAAAATTAATGAGATCTATTTGAATGCAACACAATAGTAAATGATAGTTTATCCTCAGATAATGCTGTTTTTTTTTTTAAATTTTATATATATATATATATATATATATATTTTTAGAAACTTTATTATTTCATCAATATATTTAAAATTATACATATCAAAAATGTAATTTTTTTTTCTAACTTTAATGGTCACGGAAATATGTATGGGATAAAATTTATAGAATATCGTTCAAATTATAATTAAAAGCTTCTTTGTCTTGATGATTATAATAATCAATATTTAATCGGTAAAATGGGCAAAAAATTATATTTCACACTATCTATCATTTAGGAATTTTTAAAATACAAATAATCAGTACCACTGAAAAATAAAAAAATAAGTGATTCAGGAGTTGAATTTTATCTTGTTATACGTATGGTCTAATGAATTTCACGATTGATATTATAAATACACCAATAGGGTATTTCTTTGGGATAGACCGATCCACTGATCAAAAAAAAAAATATAATAGCATACTTTCGTCTTTAAAAAAAAAAAAACACTACAAGCTATGAAGGGTCTTGGGTTCAGTACTATTTAGGAAAAGTACTGTTTTAAGGCCAACGGTTGTGTAAGGAGGGGATCAGACCAGGATCACGCTCAACCGCCAGGTTTTTCCCTTAATCAATTATTGAATTAAAGGTACCCACACTGTAGAGGCTGGATGTGCCCCAGGAAGGTCTCCCAACCCCAGGGTCGCTCCACGGCCAATGAAACAGAATAAAAAATTTATCTGACATGAGCCAGGATTCTAATCTGGGACCCTGAGCACTGGAAGCTTAGTTCCCTACCACTGAGCTACCCCGCTCCTTTCGTCATTTAAGCTCTTTTATTTTCAAAATGATAGATTCGATCTCAATACAGGTCTATCGAGATCGAACATAGGATTTACCATTAACCATCTATCATACACAACATATACAATCAGAAAAACCTCATTTTATGCATGACAACCCTCTTTATTCCCGGCGTTACACGGTACTAACATATATATATATATATATATATATATATATATATTTTTTGTTATAGTTTATCATCTATAATTGAGGATATAATTAGTCCGTGGTACAGACCACTTTTTATCAAATTATTAACATCCGCCTGAAACTTCGTAAATAGTTTCACCTCATCGTGGAATTGGAGAGTTTTCAATCTGGGGGGAGGGGAGGGTGCATACTTTATCTATTTAATTAGGTACTAAAAACTCGTAAATACCCATTTGATTTCTTCTTGGATCGTAAGATAAATTGATCACAAAATCGATAAAAAAGGTTGACTACAAAAATATTTGGCCATTTGTCCTATATAACCTCGTTATTTTGAAAATTGTAGGTCAGTTGGGGTATAGGTCATGTCAAACGGCTCAATATTTTTGGAGGCCACCTTTTTTCTCGACTTTGTGATAAAATTATCTTACGATCTAAGAAGAAAGCATATGGGTATTTACGAGTTTTTAGTACATAATTAAATAGACAAAGTTTGCCTCTCCCCCACAGATTGAAAACGCCCCGATTCCAAGAGTTTTTGTAAATAAAATAGTTGTAGGTTACGATGAGATGAAACTATTTACGAAGATTCAGACGGGTGTTAATAATTCGATAAGAAGAGGTCTGTACCACGGACTATACCTGTTAGTGAAAATCTATAATCAAATAAATAAGGTACATGGCATAAGAAGGAATCATACTCTCAGTGTTTCAAACCGCGCGCTTTAAACCACTCATCACAACGCGTTCCAATTACGGGCTAACAACGATTACAAATCAAAATGCATGATTTATGTAGAATAAATAGTTAATACATGCCTTCAGATCATCGTTGGTTTCACGTAAAGCATTTGTCAAAGACAGCAGGTAATAAATAATCAGAATGAGAAGCATCAGCAAAGGAATGACAATGGCTGGGGAAGCGATGTAGTCCAAGACCCTGTGGAAAGTCTCCCCTGGTATCAGCTGCTTTAGGCTGGACGTGAAAAGGTGGTAGATCTTATTGTAGTTGGAAAAAGGTCCGCAATGCCAGGATGGTTCTATCCAAACCAGGGCGTAGCCGACCGGAAGAACGCACAAGAAGAGCATGATGAGGAGGAGAGCGAAGTAAAAATTGTTTGATCTCGATGCTCTGAAAAATGTAAACATAATGTATATATAATCTGAAAGAAAAAATTGGAAATTAATTTTTTTTCTCTCTCTTAATTTTAACATAGCAGGACATAAAAAAATCGTATGATATTATAATTTTATTTCCAGTCGCAAAATATAAGAAGGTGGGTTTGATATGTAAGAGTAATAGAATGTTTTGCTATATATCGAGGATACTAATGTGTGAAATGAAACATATTTAATGAAATTTAAATATATTTCATGAATTAAAAATTGAAAATGTCTTTTCCGTGTATGTCTCCATCTAGATACACTAACAGTAACACAAAATTGGTAACACGATACCCTTGGATATCTGATATTAACTATAGTTTAATCTAGTATATCAAAGCAGAGGGTTGTTCTGTGGTGTCTAGTCTTTTTTTGATAACCAATATTTAATTAGCATATTTTTAAATTGATCAGTTCCCTTTTCGAACCGATAGACATAGAAATCTATTTTGTAGAAATACAATAAATATTAATAAATGCTGTTTCTGGTACTCCATTTCGCTTTAACAAAGAGGATTGTCAGAAAATTGGCAACCGACAACTAAAATTAAACTAGATATAGGTTTGATTTAATACCTGAACACGACTTCATGTGGTATGTTGCATGTAAGTACAGCCCAAGATCTCATATACATCATCACTACGAGTTTGATAAGATTTATCAGTGGTAACCCAGGAGAGAAGAACATTCCCATCCACACCATACCTTGGTTGTTCACCAGATGAAGGATGTTTTCCGCCATCTTGAAATCTGCGTATTGTGGAAATTTTTTTTCTAAATCCCAACACCAAGATTTGTTCATAAATCGAACAAATAATGCTCTAAAAAAGTCTCCCATTATTATACCGAGGACTGTCATGAGCTAGAAAAAAATAAAACGCCATACAAGGATATTTTAATACATTTGGTAAAGACATACATGCCAACATAATCTTAAGCCATTCCTAACCAAGTCCATGACTGTCAGTTTGACTAATTCTTGCCCAAACATCGTTTCCCAACAAAGATTGTGAAGTTCTTTTTTACTTTTTCTGTCTAGATATTTTATGTAAAATGATAAATCTTTTTCAGAGGAATCTATCTGCGTTGTCCCATTATAAGTAACTGAAATAATATTAAAATATAATTAAATAAATATATTTCGAATGGCAATAGTTTGTTTTCCTATTGGATTGTCCAGAAAATGAAGGAGGATTCCAGATTTTCTTTAGATTAACCCTCTATATAACAATAGAACGGGGTCAGGCAGTCTTTACTAGGATTTAGGAGTACAAGCGTAATTTCGTTTTACGAATTTAAACTAGGTTTAACAGGGCCCAAACTGCCAGAAATATTAATGAAGTATGAGTGAGTACACACTGCTCTCTAGACCTCTCGCTTACCGATTAAATCTTTTTAGACATCTAGGCCACTTTTTATGAACTAAACATTTTTTAATTACTCGAAATTAGTTAGATAGTACATTTTTAAAATAGATATTAAACATTTTCTTAGGAGAGTTAACAACGCGTTTGCTGAATATTCAGAGTAATGGATCGTATTTTATTAATAAAAATAGTTTGTATAATTTATTTTAAAACTACAAACTTAGATTGATTTTCGGACAACCCAATAATTTGAAAAACATATTAGGAGACATTTACTCACGGGTAGTTCGTTTTTGGGATAAATCATATTTTCCTCCTGGCTTTGCACTAGTTGTAACATTGTATGAGATCGATTTTGTTGTTTTTTGAGTTGCAATGTTTTTTTCGTTGGTCAATGCTTTGATTGGAATCGAAGTTGTGCTTAATGGTGTAGTACTCCTTTCTTGCGTCAAGTCAATTGCTACGGTTGTTGAGTAATCTTCAGTTCCACTCGCGTTTGTCACACAGTCATATAAACAGTTTTCACTAACGCTTGGTGTTAACGCGTCTGATAACGTGTTGTTATCTTCGTATAGTGTTACTCCAATTTTATCTCTATTTAATTCATCTTCATATTCTTCGTTAAAAAATGAACTAGAACTTTTGTTAGATTCCGGGATAGTTGCATTAAAGAAATCATTGTTAGATACTGGCTCCCCATTAATTAATATAGGAGCATGTTCTGTAAAATTCGAATAATTATCACTTAGAACGGTAGGATAAGAAATAGTTGTTGGATTCTCAGTCAAATGAGGATGTGTAGATACGTTTGTTAAAATCAATGCAGCCACAACTAGTGATTCCGTTGTGAAACTGGGTTTTGTTGGAACAACACTAACTTTTTGTCTTGATTCCGAGATGTTGGTAATCATTTTAGTCAAATTCTTCTTGAGTTCACTTAATCTTGTTGACTATAATAATAAAACAGTTTCAACGTGATTGATTCTCATAGATAATTTTATATTTTAGAAAAATTAAACTATTACTTACTTTTCCATGGATCACTGAAAAAGTAGCAAAAATAAAGGAGTATAGATTCAGCAAGTTCAAAACCATAATTCTGCAAAAAAAAAAAAAAAAAAATATATATATATATATATATATATATATATATATATATATATATATATATATATATATATATATATGTAGGTTAAAATATCAAGTTGGTAACATAACCATCGATTGGTTGAACAAATTTAAGATAATAATTGTAACATTACGAGATAAATATTCCAAAATGTTCACGAGGCGTGAAGATGCATAAGGGTGTAAAACTGATTTTAATTCTTTTCAGGAAACCCAAAATAAATTAAATATGTGTTTGCAAAAAATTGTTCAGCTTTTCTGAATTAAACAAAAGAAAATTGATTTATTCCTTTCTTAAAAGGGAAGAGGATACCAGGAAAAAATCGTGATAAATTACATTTGTCTGTAATATATTGCGTTAAATTTATTTTTTCTGTATCTCAATTATGTTTTAAGGTCTGTCAGATTAAAATTCTATTCTGTTTGAATATTTATGTTTTGGCTGTCAATTTTATCATATTAATGATTCGTTGTCATTAACACCAAACAATAGTTTGATAAAGGAGTAGAAAAAATAGCAAATCCTCATGACACATTTCCAGTAACAAATGCAAAAATATATCAGTTTGTTGCAAAAAGTCAAAGTATACTTGCGAGGTCACCGAATAAATTAATAGAAGAAGAGGACGATAAAATGTGCAGACGTGTGCACAGTATTAGATTTAATGTTTAATGATTTACTTGCAACAATGAGTTTTTACTTAATGAGTTAGATCCCATTGCTGCAATCACCCGTATTGTCTGATAGGCAGGGAAGATGATTAAAATAAAACAAAATAATAAAACATGTTGCAAGAAGTCACTATGTGCATTTTTGGTGGAGCTAAATTCTAAAGTAGTTTCTTTTTGTCTTAAAGAAGCTCTTGTCTCGACATCCGAAAGATAGCCCTGATGATGACCCACATTTGGATCGAAACATTGGCTAACTCAATAAATATTACCGTGACTGAACTTCCTAACGATTTTCTTTCATCTTCATAATTGATCAGTGGACTGTTTACTCACCTCTGAAGTAGTTTCAGTCTATTTCTACCTTATACATTGATGCAGAACACACAGTAACAACATAAAAATGATACGAACACTCTGGATGTATCAAAAGTAGACATACTAACAAGGGGTAGTCACAGTCATTCAAATTATTTTTGATGATTATAAATCGAAAAATATTGGATACAGGTCACGGCGCTCGTTCCGATAAGCCTAAGGGACAGGCAAAACAAAGTTTTTCGTTATTTTAAAAATATTCATACCTATTTCATAGTTTCGACAATATTGCTTACTTATTAAAAAAAAAAAAAAATGGATTGTTATATTAACCTTAAAATTCGCCCAAAGGAAAGGTAAAAACAATAATACATATACTAGTTGGTCCGTGTGAATAATTCGCAGAAAATTTTGTTTTGTAAAAATATAGCAAAACAATATGGAAATAATTTGATCCTATGTACTATGGGAGGAAGGAATTAATATTTTTTCTTGGTCGAATAAAATATTTCATTTAACATAATAGACCATAATATTTGTACAAACGGCTTTGCTAGGACCTTTTTTTTTTTTTTTTTATGTTCTTCCCTACCTCGCCTTTTAGGCTATACGGGATTTTCCCGGACCAGAGGGTGAGGGCGGGGAATTTAAAATCCCCCTGGCACCGGGACGCGAACTCGTGACTATTTTCATATCATAGAATCATATATCCGGTTGCCGGGCAACGGCAATGCAGTGCACACGCGTTAGCCCATTCAGCCACCCCGCCCTCGCTTTGCCAGGACCTACTTTTCAAACGCTGACTGGAAAGTTAATAAAAGTAATAAATACAAAACAATTCCCCGATCATGGGATTGTATAAACCCCCCCCCCAAAAAAAAAAAATTAAATGTAAGAACAAACGAATATCTTTTAGAAAAAAAGTAAAGTAGACTATTCTACTCCTAAATGCAATATCTTTAAAGAGGAAGACATTATTAAGTATACCAAAACTAATGGACTGTATCTTTTTTAATAATTGTCCGATTTTTTTATTTTACAGGTAATTTAGTAATCTTTATAATTATCATGAGTACAATAAAAAAAATTCAAAGGTTTTGAGTTATTCGCGAATAAAATTTCTTTTCCTTCATAACTTTTTCCAGAAATTTCGGGAGAATAGGAATATTTTTCATGTGAAGACACACCTAGAAATAATATATAGGATAAGTATATTAAAAGATAAAAAGTTTTTGTCTAGGTTCCTAAGGATTCTTGGAACGAACACTAAGAGGAGATCCAATATTTTTCGATATAGAATCCTCCCAAAAAAGGTAATTGAAATAGGTAGATCCACTGTCTGTGCATTCATCTTGTAAGTAGTGTAGAATGCCCTGATTCCACAGAGAGAAAGTTCATCAAAGTAACATTTTATAAAATATTTTTTAGTCAAAATGATATCTTTTCGCAATAAACCCACGATTTATTCTAGTATTATAATCGCCTCAAAGCATTTCCACTACGAATTGTTAAATCTCAAGGATTTTAGCTCACCTCGCAAGTTGTAGCCTTAGTGCCTTTCTGGGATGGTACTTTTCAAGATAACTAATACCGTCGAAAACGATTGGATAAACAGTCCCGATGAGGGTGATCACTACAGTCACTTCATTTTGTTGCCACCAGCTTTTGGCTTCTTTTAAGCTGCTTTCATCAGAGCGGCCAACCACTTTTATGACTGCGTACACTGAAGATGCCAACAGCCATATTACATTGAAATGTGAGAATATCCTTATAGAGAACAGTTTCCAGCTGAAAATTGTAAATTAAAATGTTGTAGTGTAATGAAATAATTAATATAATAACAACAATACAATAATTTAAGCGGGGCCTTTGTACAAGATTACATCTCCTGAAGCGGATTGCCTTCAATTGAGATGAGTTTCTGCTTGCTCTCAATTTATTTCGGTGATCTGCTTATACGGTGAGATGTACCTTTTAAATATAGGAACTTTTTGCGGGGAAAACATCAGTACAACCATCTTTTTTTTTTAACTTTTATTGAAATGTTCAGTTAAATGAAATCTACAATATGATTATTGTCCAGTATATTCTAATGAGAACCAAGCAATTCACTCACGATTATATCTTTAATTTAAGCTCAAGTGCTGCTTGTTTCTCAAAATCTGAACATTTTTTTTCTCCCATAAATTTCTTTTATTAATTTATATATGACTTTTTGGGATTCATGTTATTCCATCTTCAGACCATTTTATTATCTTTATATCGTCTCAATTTATCATAAGATTAGTAAATAATTGAATTTTAAATGAAAAATCACAAGTAAAGTAGTTTGAAGATTGGATAAAATAAATCCCGAAAAGTCATATATAAATTAATAAAAGAAATTTATGGGTGAGTAAAAATGTTTAGATTTTCATATACCTTGTTAAAAACATCTCTCTCAGGACTTATGAACAAAAGTTCCTTTCTTTTTTTAAAAATATTTTGCCAAAAATTCTAAAACTGTTTTAATGAAACTTTTGTAAGAGGTTGTAGGAAGGTTTCACGCCGTGATTACAACCCCTTATTTTGTCAAAATTTATTTGTAAAAAATACATTCAGACCGCCAGTCTTTCCGCCACATTGCGGGATTTAAGCTCGGATCAATTGACTTCTGGAAATCCGTCAGATTACTCCAGCAGTCTTTACCTTACAAGATCATTAGATCAATATTCTATATCATTATGTCTGATCGTGTAAGGCACGAATTACGATCTGCAAGAGGAGTACGGAACTCGTCTTATAAAAACACCATTCCAATTTACTGATATTAATATAAGGCATCTAGGGAATTACAAACTTTCTTCCTTCCTCGCGTGTCTTCTCAGCTTCTTCTAAAAGTGCTTCCTTGAAACCTAAAATGATCGATGAAGTCCTATTATGAGCCGTTTCCGGATTACCAATCATGAAATCCCAGCTTGTAAACATCTTCCATGTAAATATGCAATCATCATCTTTTTCCGATAGTTTGCTTTGTTTGGAATTAACCGCCATCCTAAAATTTGATTGAAAATTATGAAAAGCAATCATTAATTAAGGCAATGATTAAGATGTGACGATATACTTGCGCAGTATGGCTACAAAACTGTAGCCATAAACACCAAGAGATACCATGAAGTATATCAAAGGTAATTTTTTCCCATAAAAGCCATTGTTTTCATTTTCATTGTTGTAGTAACCATAAAACAGTGGAGAATATTTTAAAAGACCTTCGAAATTCCAGAGTGTAAAAAAATTCATCGCTTTTGGACGTTCTGCTTTAGGTATTATTTTCCTTTCTCCGCTCGATTCTTTGTAACCGAATAAAACCTAAAATTGTAACAGAAATTACAGAACGAAATTTTATAAATAAACTAAAAATAACAATGAAGACCTCACCTCAGGAGCTGCAAGAAAAACTATCAGCACAACTGCAATGATTATATTCACGGAAAATAACCATCTCAAAAATGTGAAGTAAGATGCGACAACTGTCCCGAAATGGGACTCTATCCGCTTGATTCTAGGCTCCCAGGGAATCATGTTGTTCGCCAGATTGATGAACTCTCTTTTAACATAATTCCAATTCTGAAAAGAAGAGGTAAGCAACTGATTTATAAGAATTTTTATGTTTATTTATAAGAAAGCTTATGTTAATACTTAAGAATAAGAACTTCCATTAAATTAATGCATATTTGGCACTGTAATGCACTAGCGGATCCAGGATTTAATTTGGGGGGGAGGCTTCAGCCCGAAAGCTTTTTTTTCATAAAAATGACGATATTTACTTTTGAAAAAAAGAAAGAAACTAGCCATCTATATTAAATGGTATTTAAGTGATTCCTGAAGTCCTTTTAAATGTAATTACACGAACAATAATACTTTAAGATATACAAGAACAATAATACGTTTTCCCATAAAACATGGTTATATTTTACCAATTTGGGGGGACTTTAGCCCGAAAGCTTCAATCCTCCCTCCCCCGTAGATCCGCCCGTGCTGTAATGGAATGAACTTATCATACATGAAGCATGATTTTATAAATACTTATGTAAAATTAGTGAATGTGATTTATAGTATTATCAAATATGTATTGTGTTAATTATTTCCATTATTTTATATAATTTATTGATCATTTGCCTCAGTCAAGCGCCGCAGATTTAATGTTTTTAATAAATATTTTTTGTGTTAGTTTAATCTATTTTAATAAATACGACAAGGTTTTCGTTCATGTTTTTCAATTTTTATGGAATTTTTTTTTCTTATGCCAAAGTCTTTGGTCATTTGGCCATCCGACATCTTGCTGCCCATTATAATTTCGATTTTTTAATATATATATTTAACAATGTTTTTTCTCTTATATCCGTCGAAGCAGGATATGCGTCTAGATGATCTGCATCCATTATTCCTTGATGACACAATTTACAGGTGGGATCCTCAGGCACTCCTATCTTGTAGAGATGACTGCAGATAGTCGTGACCAGTGGACAGGCGAAAGCAGGCAACTGCATCTCTTCTCGGTAGCTCAGCTGGAATCGGATTATCCTTCAACCACTCGTAACGCTTCCCTCCCACCTTGTCCAAGTGTGCTTTTCTAATTTCTTCCTTCACTACCATCTTATCCATAAGAATTTTTATAGAGTCCAATAGCTCAAAAATTAATTTTATTTAACAAGGTAGCATTTTAAGCCATATCCTCATTTTAAGTCTCTCTGATGAAAGTTTCCATCACTACCTATAACTATCGACTACAACCCACTTTATTAAAACAATATGCACTTTAAATCGAACTCTCCTTAAAAAAAAAACACTCACTTGGAACATACATACGAAATTTAAAAAAACAAAACATACCAGATGATATAATCAACTTTTACGTCATCAGGACTGCATATCCTTACTTAATTTTAGAAACAAGCGACTAATCTATAACAATAATCTGATACCAATTTGGATATAGGTAGCAGGAATTTGGGTTTGAACATACCAACACACATAAAAAATACAATCAACACAAATACTACATTCTTCAAAAAATTGTTAGTGCGCCAGAGTGTGTTTCAATTTCATGGTATTTAAACATTTCAACCCAAAATCACCTTACTCCATTGTATCCGTAAATTTTTCCCTCCTAGTTACCTACTCGACACAGATTAAAAAGGAAAAGGCCCAGAAGTCTGTTCCTTCACCAATAATCAAAGGCTTTATTAAGCACAATGATAAGAGCTGATCATTTACATAAAATTTTCTAAATGTACTACTGGGCGGTTGAAAATTGTGTAAAAGAATGAAATAATATTAAACAAATTAATTAAAATCCATTTATTTATCTATCTATATGTACGATATTGCAGTAATAATATAAATAATTGTTCTACAAAAATAACATACGTGTATCAATAGAATGTTGATGCGCGCAAGAATGTCCCTGGCACTCCTCCTCTGCGCCAGCCTTTCTTGAATTTGCCCCTCGTGCTGTTTGATATAAGACTTAGCTGCCTGAACCAACCGCAGTTTTTTCTGTATAGGCCATGGTTGGTACTTGATATGCGCAACGACTTCCTTGTGGATCCGCATGTTTTGGAAAATCTGTTCTTGTTCGTCATCTTCAATCGATATTCTAGAACTGAAAAATGAATATAATTCATTAATGTGATGTTCATTGGTTCCTTAGTGGAATCTGTGAGGCGGAAGAACACTTACTCGCCAGATCCGGTGGTGAAGACCGATGACCTCCTCCTGAGGGAGACGGACAAGGGTGAGGAGCTTCTCCTCCTCTTGCTGCTCCGTCGCCTCCAGCTGTCCCCACGGCCTTTCTCCAAGATGGCGGTAGCGCTGGCTGAGTAGTCGTCGTCATCTCCAGTTTCTTCTGAAATTATTAAATTGAGTTGTGATTACCTAACTCTTTGTTACTAATATATTACGATATCCTCAATTGATTGGCAACATATATTTTTTTATATTCCTACTATACTTATTTTGTTAAAACAATCCCTTATTTTGGCCAATTGCTCAAGATACTTGTAGTTATAAGGTCAACATTAACATAGACCAATAAAAAAATCTGGTATGTCCATTCACACAACTTTCATACCTATTTCAGAAAAGTTTTTATATCTTTACATATGTTCATCAATAAACAAATAAAAATTGAATTAGATTTATTTTCCTGAAAATAGATCAAAGAAAAGATTTGAATACTTCAGGGTAGATCAGTGTAAGAATTTCAATAACCTCCAATATTGCAGATCAAAAACTTTTAGAAACGTACAGATCCATCGAAAACCGCATATCGGAAATTTGACCCGATCGCAATACTCTCCTTACCTAGTATAGGTAGGAAAGTAATAAATTAAAACACGTGTAGAAAATAGAATGCGCTGGATCATCGCTAATACTGGTTCGATTCCGATGATTCTTTTTTGTTAATTTAATTGCCTTTCAAAAGTTTTATTATAAAATTTACCATAGAATATATACTTAGCTAGTTAGACCCCAAAACCAAAAATTTTTTTTCGGGAATTTATTCCATGTACGGATAATTATTAGAACATTATAGGAAAGTTTTATCAAAATCATTAGAGCCGTTTTCACGCTATAGTCTATAGAAAGACATGTTTTTCATTTATTGCGCATGGAACACTCAATTTGTGTCACAGGCATCAGTAGTCAAAACACTGCAAAATAAAAAAAGAAGCAACACAATCGGTCCACTAGTTCCCCAGAAAATCATGGCACAGACAAACAGACCAATTGCTAAAAATGTGTTTTTCGGACTCAGAGGGCTCTGAAACGTATAGATCCGTCGACAACCGCATATCGGAAATTTGACTCAATCGCAATACTTTCCTTACCTCGTATCGTTAGGAAAGTAAAAAAAACTATGGTATGTACTTTAGACCACACGATAGAAGTGAAAACATCAACAGAGCGAGATTAATAATATGAAATATAAATTATAACTAGTACCCCATCACAAAGAGAATGAAATGCTGAACGTTTCTCTTGCTTTCAATATCCACTTCCGATTTTTATTTTCTGGGATATTTTAATCCATATTTACAATAAACTCGTTATCATTTGGTTTTCGACACTATTTTCCCCTTTTCGCCTCTCTAACACGACATCGCGTTAAGATACAATTTTGAATAATAGCTCATTACAAAGAGGATGAAATGATAAACATTTCCCTCTCTTACAATATGCAGGTCCGATTTTTAGTTTTTGAGATATTTTAATCTATATTTACAATAAACTCGTTATCATTTGGTTTTCGACACTATTTTCCCCTTTTCGCCTCTCTAACATGACATCGCGTTAAGATACAATTTTGAATAATAGCTCATTACAAAGGGGATGAAATGATAAACATTTTCCTCTATTACAATATGCAGGTCCGATTTTTAGTTTTTGAGATATTTTAATCTATATTTACAATAAACTCGTTATCATTTGGTTTTCGACACTATTTTTCCCTTTTCGCCTCTCTAACACGACATCGCGTTATAATACAATTTTGAATAATAGCTCATTACAAAGAGGATGAAATGATAAACATTTTCCTCTCTTACAATATGCAGGTCCGATTTTTAGATTTTGAGATATTTTAATCTATATTTACAATAAACTCGTTATCATTTGGTTTTCGACACTATTTTCCCCTTTTCGCCTCTCTAACATGACATCGCGTTAAGATACAATTTTGAATAATAGCTCATTACAAAGAGGATGAAATGATAAACATTTTCCTCCCTTACAATATGCAGGTCCCATTTTTAGTTTTTGATATATTTTAATCCATACGCAAAAACACTTCAATTTATCAACTCCAGCCGACTTTACTCGAGCGTTACACATTGAAATCTGACGACTCAATCTAATTCCCTCTCGACAAAAAAGTGCTAAACGCTCCTAAAGAAGTTTTCACTTAAGGAAAAATTAAAAAGAAGGGGAAAACAATCTATTTACTTAGAAGAAATAACTTGTAACGACCTTATTTTTAGAAAACCAATATTATTTTCGTGAAATTCAAATGAATTACTCACAGTGGAAAGATGATAATTCCTATTGAATAATTATGGAATCTAAAAATCCACTGACAAGAAAGATTATAAGGACTGTGACGTCATATGTCTTCGACGAAGTAAAATCTAAGTATATATATACACATAATATAAAGTAATAAATATGTGTATATATATATATATATATATATATATATATATATATATATATATATACATATATGCATCCAAGAAGCCTTAACTCTAATAGTAAATTGACGTTGGTTGTTTAATTAATATATTATAAAAAAAGGAACCTAACAAACATTTTTTTATTTTTACTATTGTTTATTTATTTATTTAAAAAAATAAAAATATCTATTACAACACTGAAAAATTATCTTATTACGAGTTAAATAAGTCTATGTGCTTCAAATACCTGGAACTGAATCGTTGATCGCCTTGAGTTCTTCTACTTTTTTATTTTCATTCGCGAAGCTAACTGATAGTTTATCAAGGGATGGTTGCGGTGAGGTAGGTTCGATCTGTAAAGAAATAATCATTAAAATCTGTAAACCGGATGTAAAGAATGTTCATTTTTTTATGAAATAATATAGTATCTGAGAACTAAATTTTAATAGCTCACAGTTATAGAACAGTGGCTACCCTGAACAAATACAAAAATGGACATGGCGTTGTTGACCTCTGGTGTACAGAAACGTAATTATATATTTTGTAGTAAATCTTATAAAAAATTAAAATAAATGATGAAAAATATCAAAATACTTTTGATAAATTTTGACTTATCAAATGATATTTATATATTTTATCATAATTCTTTTTTATTGTTAAATCAGAATCTTGGCAAAATTTCCCAATAATTATTTTTATAATGTATATGGTCTCGTGATACGAAAAAAAGAGAATTGAAAAAAAAATCCACACAACAGAGCTCAAGATTTTCAAAATTCAAATTATTGTGATCAGAGATGGATCAACAATTGGCGGCCCTAAGTGGTAGAAATTTATGGGTCACACACACAAAAAAGTTTCTAGCAAACAGCTGTAAAGAAAAGTCAAATAGACCAAATTAGAGAACATAAATTTAACTGTTTCGTATTTTTTTTAGAGTTTTTTTAATCTTTTTGGTCATATAAATTTTTTGTAAGTTTAGTTATTTTAAGATATCCGGTTCCCTCCTGGAGTAAATCAAAAGCGATCTTACTCATGATCACTCCTACTAAGATTACCTGCTGCAGGTAAACACGTACAAGTGTGGATGACACTTATGATCTGCGGTGATTTTTATCAAAATATTTTACATTTATTGATTTTTAAACATGCATTAAAATGCCTATATATACAATGTAGAGAACTTATAGTAAATAAATGTAAGCTGAAATTAAAAAAATAAATCGTACGACATGGGATAAATATCTAATAAACAATAAATATCCGAATAGGTACTAAAAGTGAGTCATAAATTAACAATGATTTAAAAAATTAATTAGTTTTATAATTAATTTGTCCGACATGTACAAGGCTAATAGATTGTTACCGCTTGTAGTTCCTGCCCGAGCGCTCCCATGGTTTGGACTATGCTAAGGGTGGGAGAAACCACACCCCCTCATTCAGTGATTTCGTCAACCAATCCTTCTTCCATGTCACCTGTTCAACCTCCCAGATTTGGAGTTGTTCTTGAATATTATTAGGAACATTTTTATTTTACATGCAGCTGGATTATTCAACGGAGATTCTCATAATTGGATCGTAGTATGCAAAAGTGTAAATTGTTTTCATAGGAGATAATTAATGAATACAAATGCTTTATATAATATTAATATTGTATAAAATTTAAGCAAAAAATATTCGTTATTAAATATCGGAGAACAATAAGCCTGAATGAAATACCTGTTTTTATTCTATACTTACATTTGTGAGTATAGAAGTTTGGTTAAATTGGAGAATATAGACAGTGGTACAGAGTGGTAGTTTCATCTCATCGTATCATAAAGCTATTTTATTAAGAAAACTCTTGAAATTGGGGCTTTTTCAATCTGAAGGGGAGCAAAATTTGTCTATTTAATTAGATACTAAAAACTCGTAAATACACATTTGCTTTCTACTTGAATCGTAAGATAATTTGATCACAAAATAGATAAAAAAAGGTGGCCTACAAAAATATTGGACCGTTTGGTCTGTATAACCTCGTTATTTTGAAGATTTGGAGAAAGGGGGTGTAGATAACAAAATAACGAGGTTATATAGGACGAACGGGCCAATATTTTTGTAGGCCATCTTTTATCTATTTTGTGATCAAATTATCTGACGATCCAAGTAGAAAGCAAATGTTTATTTACGAGTTTTTAGTACCTAATTAAATTGACAAAGTTTGCCCCCCTCCAGATTGAAAACGCCCCAATTGCAAGAGTTTTCGTAAATACAATAGTTGTAGGTTACGATGAGATAAAACTATTTATGAAGTTTCAGGCGGATGTTAATAATTCGATAAAAAGGGGTCTGTACCACGGACTAATATCTCAACGCTTCACTTTTTGGATTTCACAACTTTTTCATTCAATGACGCAATTATTGATATGATAATATATAATAATATAAAATATTGTATTTGTTATAAGAAACAAACAATCATTCGTCATTCTTAAAATATCAATTAAAAATTTATTTGTGTTTGATTCGAAAACAAATATATGTTATAAATTGGTTTATTTATGTGTTATGATTTTTCAATTTTCATATCAAGTATATAAAGAATGATAGAAGAGCGGAACTGGAGTGTTCTTTGCGAAAATAAAATATAAAAATGTATAATATTGGAAAAAGAATGTCTCAATAGTTACAAA